GTGACAATATCTAAATGCCAGACATCAACCAACGTGACAAAATCCAAATGCCAGACATCAACGTGACAAAATCTAAATGCTAGACATCAATCAACGTGACAAAATCCAAATGCCAGACATCAACGTGACAAAATCTAAATGCTAGACATCAACGTGACAAAATCCAAATACCAGGCATCTACGAGACAATGTCCAAATGCCAAGTATCACCTCGACAACATCCAAAAACAGTTCCATTTCTTATCTTGTGATGTTTGTCAACCTTTAATTATAGGACTCTATATTCAGTGACTCCGGCCTGTGAAATGAGGCCAAACGAATGGAATATTTTTTATGTTTTTTAAAGTGTTATCTACGTCGATTTATTTTTAAACATCTTTTAAACATGGCTGGCGTTAGCTTGCGGTCCATGTCACTGTAGATTCAATGTGACCTTGGTGACCGTGTCTTCTGCTGCACAAGTGATCCATTTCAGTCCCAGCTGGCCATTTATTTCCCTTTATCATTTAAAGTTGGAGGGAGATAATCCCGGATTTCAAGATGAACAGCTTGGTGAATTTACGTGAATTAAAATTTAAAATGTGAACGTGGGGTGGAGAGGGAGCGGCTGATTGTGCATACGTGCTCACTCACGGCGTAGTGCGATTAGGTCGGGATCTTTCCTCACTCCGCAAACGTATAAGAAGTTAACAAAATATACGTAACCTATCTGATCTCTTCAAATATTAGAGAATTTTACTGGGATTAGAGAATTTTACTGGGATTGTGACATGAAATATAATCCCCCCCCCCCCCACACACACACGCCATTACACGTAGCCACTTCATTCCAGCACACGTGTTACACAATAAAGATTTTAAAAACTCCTCTTTAGACCTAACGGTCCATTGGGCAGATGAAGTAGAGTTCATATGTTTCTTGACCTCGGCAGTTGATGGGACAATGTAGTCAACACAATGCCCATTTACTTTACTTCCCAGAACGTGAGTTAGGTACCCATCAGAGCTGGGTTATCTCAGGGACACTTCACTGACTTGAACCCAAATTCAAGCTCAAGACTTTCGTCATTTGTTTTGCGTTCTATCTCTAGGCCAAGCCACCGCCCACTTGATGTAGGCTACATGTATAACTGTGTGCATGTCAAATGTTTAATATTATCAGCTTTTCTGGAGCTTTTTAGACGGTTAAATGAAAAAGTTTAGATCTTCGTTAGCCTTGAAAAGATATATATATCATATATAACATATGTGTTACAGAATTGAGCTTTATATATTAGATATATATATATATATATATATATATATATATATATATATATATATATATATATATATATATATATGTATATATACCACCTATTTCGTGAGGACCAGAATATTACCTCACTGGGATGAGGTTTATAGTTTATTAGCTAAGGAATAAGACACACACACAACACACATCAATAAACACACACGCAACACTCATGGTTGGTTTAAAATTGGAAAGATGCAACGCCATTTTTTTTTTAGAGCAAGGGGAAATAATCGTAAATCAATACAACACTCGGTACCCTTGTTACCGTCAGTTGCTGCCCCTATTGTTGTTGACTAGTACTTTAGCCTGTTGTTAAAATAGATCGTGGTACCAGGTCGTGTCTGGCTGTCTATCTCTGTACCACGTGACGGTGGCAACATGAGGCAGCCATCTTAAATCTTGACCGAGAAGTATCAAATCGGTCCACAATCTTTGATTCACTGAACATGAAATGTGTTTTGTTGGTTAAGGTTTTTATCAGCGAACTGAATAAATTATTGTAACGAGTAAATAATTGAACTGAATGATTGAGGCTCTCATATTTAATCATTGCACTGGAAGTCTGAAAGATTGAAGATTAAGTTCCAATGTCTATTATGATCCAACACTGTCCACAGGGTTTGGACTAACAATGATTTAACCCAGTGCTTCTTCCACACTTTTTTCGGCGCGGACACTAGTAAAAGTATGTTTACTATATAAATTCCATCTCGTTCGGGGGGCGGTAGACTTTCTTCGGAAGAGATGCCTGATTTAACCCTAACATGATACACAATGTCACATTGCCCCAAGGAATTAATCATTCCCTATGACTTACACCAGGGTCGTCCAATTGTTTTTTTTTTACTTTGATTCCTTTGTGTATAGCCTGTTTTGTAATAAATTGATACGATAAGCATACATTTGCAGCTGAATGTGTTCTATTCTATAAATAGCACATGAACAACAACACTACTTGATTGGTTTGGTCTGGAACAGGAGTTTTATTTCATTCTAGCGTGCTTTGAACAGACTATCATGTGTTATTTCAGAACATAAATATTAAACGCTATTTTTACCTTTAAGAATAACCTAATTACAATTGTCATATTTCAAGCTAAATAATTAATTATAATTAATATGATTGTAACGGGGTCTTCAGATGTTAATATATTTGTTGAACGAGGTAGACATGTTACTTCCAAGCAGGGACGGAACTACAGTGCCGCCAGATGCGGGGGGGGGGGGGGGTCGTTTAGGAGCCCACAGCCGACCATATTGATATGTGGTTTGTAAAAGAAAAATACTGTAGCTGCGATACGATTATCTTTATTTTACAGTCACTATACCACACTCGTCCGCAAAAATTAAAATCCATTACACAAACTGCAGTGTAAAATATAGGCAAAACTTCAAATTTTAATGACTTCTGTGACTTGCTACTCTAGTTTGGTAGTAAAAGAGAGGACACATAACTGTTTGACCGATCCTCCAAAGTGTACTGTGACAGATGGGGCAGGGGATGGGGGACCAAATAGGGGCTCGAACATTGTCGTCAAATTTATTTATATACTAGCCATCCCGGCCAGGCCCTGCACTGGCATCTCTGAAAAACGTATCAAAAGAGAACCATAACTTGTGTGTTTAGTAATCAGCATTTACCCGGCATTGCCTACCCTAACCACAACCAACCAAAACACACAAAAACGCAAACATAACACTAACACAAAACAAACACAAACGAAAACAAAAAAGCAAACGCAAACACAACCACAAACACAAAGAAAACACAAAAGCAAAGAAAAAAGCAAACGAAAACAAACCCAAATCCAAACGCAAACACAACCACAAACGCAAACTCAAACACAAAGAAAACACAAACGCAAAGATAAACTAAACTCAAAGTGTCCACAGTCTAGCCAGGGGCGCAAAATCGCACCATGACGACGTGCGGCGTAACCGCCTGATTCAACTTAGTCAACGACTATAGTACCCAACGCGAACGTAGATACCATAGTGAACACGGGAAGGCCCGGGGCGCCAAATAGCACCCTGTCACGTAAACACAGTCTATATACAGTCAGAGTCTATATACATATAATTCTCTTCTTGGAGACGATTGAAAACACACAACTGTAAGCGCGCTCCCTACCACCACCACCCCTACATGGTCTGGTGAACTGTGGTTCACGCTAAATGTTTACAATCGTAGAGCCGGGTTTAGTGACGGCTATTAGGGGCAGTAGCGTAGCGAGGGGGGGGGGGGCATATGTCCCCGGGCGCCGACCTTAGGGGGCGCCAAAATGGGTTGGAAAAATAAATTGAAAGGTTGAGGGGGGTGCAAATCGAAAATCGAAATCTTGAGGGGGGGGGGGGGTGCAAATCGAAAGTTTGATGGGGGTGCAAATCGTTTGAGGGGGGGGGGTGCAAATCAAAATCTTGAAGGGGGGTGCAAATCGAAAAGTATGTCCCCGGGCGCCGGGAAGGGTCGCTACGCCTCTGATTAGGGGCAGATAATGTAGTTTGAAACGATTTTAAACTTAGGGCAGGTAACTAAGAGGAGTTTGCTTTCAAGGGGGGTGGGTGGGGTTGGGGTAGGGGGAAAGAAGGGGGGTATCGTCCTAAACGACCATCTGATAGTGTTTTAAAGCAAATATTTTCAGTGGCAGCATTGGTACTGTCGAATTCACAAATTATGAATTACTGAATATTAGAAAATAAAACAACTAAATAACGGCGTATGATACGCCGCGGGTCGGCTCGTTTTGTTTAATTTATACTCTAGTCTCCTATACGCAAATTACACAATATAATAATTCGAAAGTCTGATATTAACAATCTTTTAGATTTTAGACGATAGTTAAAACCAAACAGTTGTTGAGCTGTGTACTGTTTGGGGAGGTGTACTCATTTAATCATTTATCTGAACTTAATATATTTAGCAAAAACCTGAACAAAATTTAATTAAAATATTTTTTCTTTATAATAGTAATAATAGTGCACTTCAGAACTAGACACAGTGCCGTATTTAACTATATAACATAATATAGGTCTAGTACAGGGGTTCCCAACCCCGTGCCCGCGGGCGCCATGGCGCCCGCCGAACGATTCGTATGTGCCCGCCTCTCACTATTCGACAGAGACAGAATTTTTTTCATAAACATTATTGAAAGGTTGAAGGGGATGGAAGTTTGAGGGGGGGGGGGGCGTGCAAATCGAAAGTTTGAGTGGGGGGGGGGGTGCAAATCGAAAGTTTCGTCCCCGGGTGACGGGAAGGGTCGCTACGCCTCTGGAAGGAGTTTGTCGATTTAAAATAGGTGGTGCCCGCCACCCTACCGATATTTTTAAATTTTAGAATGTGCTCTAGAGAAAAAAAAAGTTGGGAACCCCTGGTCTAGTAGTACAGTAGGTCTATAATTGAATGCAGTTTAAAATGCGTCAAGGTTGGCAAATTCACATGAAAAATATCAATTCCAGGAATTTTAAGAACTTTTTGTCTATTTGGCTTGTAAAAAAAGAATGTTAAATAATTTTGACTTTTAAACAAAAAATCTTATTTTATTGTAATATATAGAATAATATAAAAGAAGAAGGAAGATCAGTTTAACGTGAAGATTTTTTATAATTCAAAGTAAATCTAAGTCTGTTGATGAAATTTCTGTTTATATTTAGATTATACTTTTATTTCAATTTGACCAACACTAGATCTAGAAGTTGTTTTTTTTTTAATAATCATCATGGCGGAATCCATTCGCAATGCTTGGGCCAATGTCATGCGTAGAAGATTTATAAGATTAGGAATACCGTTTGTTGTAAGATTACATTGATATTTGTTATAAAATATAATTACATAGGGAATTTCTCTGATGTAGTTGTGAAATTCTCAGCTGTTTTTAGATGCTCTTGTTAGATTAGCTCACAGTTAAAATAAAATAAATATTAGCCTAAATGTCAAAAGTCAAAGGACAACAAAAAAAAAAGGACGTCAAAGAAAGGTAATCTAGGTAACCGCGACTAGATCTAGTAATGTGAAAAACAGGTGACTCCTTAAATTTTAATAATTATTACACATTTTGCGGAGGATTTAGAATATATGTTTTGAAAAATACAAAAATGTTTCCTTGTTTCTTTTATGGAGATCTAGAATCTACATGTTTTCAAACAATTGAATTAAAACTTTTCAGTAATAAATGAAGACTAGAATCTAGCGATGTTTTCATCAGATGCAACCATACTCATTTACTATAGCAGCCATCTTGTTTAAGTTTTATTTTGTTAAACTTATAGCGGAAGATTCAGGGGAAGCCATTCAATTTTACTTATTTTTACAGATGGCTGCTGTTATATTATAGCAAATCTTGCTCGCAAACAAAATTTAAAGTTAATTTGTGGCCTATAGGCCCTATTGAATATTGATATATTTAGCCTTTGATTTTGGTTTATTATTCAATTATCTATAAAATTTGACACTAATTAGTTTTTTGAGAAATTGGAAATAGCGTAAATTACTACTTCCAGTCAAAAGAAATACACAGAAGGTAGAGAATTAGATCTTTTACTTACATGTGAAATTTCATTTATCTATCTGAAATAGTACTCAAGGTATAGAGTTTTGAAAAATTCAAAGTAGAAAAAGTACCACTTCCGGTTATGGAAATCGCTCAGAAGTTGATAACTAAGTTAAGTACTTAACAAGCAGTATCTGAGTGCTGTCACTGTGCTCAGCTGTATTACTCAGTACTGTCTATGACAGTTTACGGTTTATGACTCTATTACTAGTATTAGTATTAGTATTTTAGTATACTGAGACTTTACTCAATGAGTTTATCCTATACTCTATGTCTTAGTTACTTAGTAGGTCCCTAAAATACTTGTAGAATATATCATAGACATTAATAGATCTAGTACTAGTACTACTACTAGGTAGTAGATATTTAATTACAGTGAGTAGTTCTTCTGTTACTTAGTAGTCTACTAGTACTACTCATAAATACTGAGCAGTTCTTATTGTCTCAGTTCAGTTAGCTTAAAATGGGTCTTCCATAAAGGTAAATGTTAAATGTCAAATGATGTCACACTGCTAGGCCTTAGCCTGGGCTAGTGGGAGGGGCTTCAAAAAGTGCAGATACTTTTTTTGCTTTAAAAAAATTGTTATTTATGTTTTTACAAAACATTTTCTGTAAATTTTAATAAAAATTATTTGCACATTGTTGAGTGAGCTCAGTAAATGTAGAGAATTTGCTGTTTTAAATACCAAAAATTTCAATTTTCAAAGGGAGAATAGGGGGGGGGGGAAGGATTGTGTAATAATTTTAGGGGAGGAGCTGGGTCTTGCTCTTTGTGGGGTGGTGGATGGAAAATCATTTTAAAAAGCTTGACATTACTTACAGATGACCTCTAAATAGGTCAGCAAATGGGCAGTGATGATTTTATGATTATTTGTCAGTGTTAGCTTAGATGTTAATATTTTTAAAAACTTATCTAATTAAAGCATAATTTTACAGATTTGATTGTGCATGGTGTTTTTAAAAATATTTTTTTTACAAATTTAATGCAAATAAATTTAATATTATAACATCTATTTTTAAACAATATTCTGGGGGCAGGAGAGCTACACAAATATTGGCATTTTTTCTTGTAGTCTCCACACTTACAAAAACATAGACATTCATAAGTAGTCTCTGCATTTAAATTAATGATTTTTAATACAATATTTTTAACTTGAAAAAGAGGCCCTATTGTACATTAAATTTAATTAATGATGATCCTGATTAGATGTAGCCAATCAAATCAATAATGTCTCTCTCCCTCTCTCTCAGTCAAACTCTCAGGTGTCATCTCAATGTATTTTGAAATTTTAAATGTACCAATACATTGCAGGTTTTTGTAGCTGGAGGTTCTTTTTTCTTGAAACAGTTTGCCAGCCTTCGTTATGAATTCAGAAATTCAAAAAGGGTAGGAGATATTGGAATTTTTTGTTTGTTTAGTTATATATAGGTTATGTGGATAAATATTTCATGTAAACATGTTAATGAAACGAACATAAATTCTTTTTTTTAAACAGTTCATCAGAAGAATTGTATTGGCAATAATATGATTAAGACTTAAAAGGTGTGTATTATAATTGGTATTCATGTTCATTATTTTTTATCAGCTTTCAAAAGAAGAGGCGGAAGAATTAGGATTTAAAACTGTCAGTGTTGATACAGAAATTGAAAAAATGTTAAAAGTAAGTATGTAGGATGTATGTCATAATTTTAAATCTTGTGGTTTTAATTTTTTTTTTTTTTCAATTTTTTAAACATGAATTTATCATTACCAATGACCCATGTTGTGGTATATACTTCTCTTTTTTCCATTATATTTTTTAACATCCAGATGATTAAGATATTTTTTTTTTTTTTTCAAAAGGAAATTGAGGAAAAAGACCTGGATAACTGGGAAAATATTAGAGGGCCTAGACCCTGGGAAGATTCAAAGTCTGTTCAGATAGAAAGTAGAAAACTATTAGAACAACAAAAGTCAAAGGAAGTTAAAAGGTTAATATTATATATTTTTATTATTTTATACTATAATCCAGCCTCCTTTTCAGACCTAACAGCCAGAGGAATAACAATGTGTGTATCTTTACATCTGCATACAACTGTATAATTAGAACCATGCCCAGTTGTCTTTACTTTTAACTTTGGTCAATCCAGCTTAGTTTTCTTCTTCTTCTTCGTTCTTAATTGTGAATATGGTGGAGGATTCAGACAAGTCCAACTTTGTGGACAAACCGGACTGTGGTCTCCAGTTTGTCAGGTGCCCCATATAATTTTTCCCTGAGTGGGGTGGGCTGGGGCCAGTGTCTGTCTCGTGCCTGGCTATACAAAGTACATTCCTGGAGTACGTGCTCCGTGTTTTCCGGGGCCTTGCCACAAGGGCACATTTCGCTACACCCAACCTTCAGTTTTCTGTGCATGTGTTGATTTAGTCTGTTGTGGCCTGTTCTCAGTCGAAAGATTATGTATTGTTGTTTTCGTGTTAAATTATAATAGCCGTCGTCTTTAATGTAGTGAGGGTGTGTGACAGACCACATTTGCGTTTGTTTGTTTTTTATTATTCTTTTTATTTCTTTTGGGTGTTTAAAATGATCTTATGCATTTAGGTATTTGTAATGTAGTTGCTCCTTAACTTGACTGTAAATAGAATTTGCATTAATGCAATCCACTGCACTCCAAAATTGATGATTAACTAGTACTCTGAGGAAAATTATACAAAGCTCGGTATCATCTTTACACACTCAAGTCTTTCTTGGGCATAGAAACAATTGAAGACTGTATTTCACCTGTTAAAAGTTCACACATTTAACTTGGCTTTTATTATCATTACGTTATTAATGTTTCTTATTTCCATTGATTGTTCAATGTTTAAAATTTTGTTTTTTCTTGACAGCAGCTGAGCAAAGTTGTAATGTGTACATAATGCAGATGTAATTCAAGGGAGGCTACAAGTTGAATTTGTTTTTATTGTGCATCTTATGAAACTTGTGTGTGAATAATGATTGTATTCTAACATTACTGATTACAATTATCTAGTGCATTTTAATCAGCAAGCTGCAATGGCATTTCAATTCAATAATTGCAAAACTTTAATATTGAAGAAATATGCAGCATGTGATCGTTGACTTGAGTGCTATGAGAGGTTATGTACCTTGAGAGATAAGGCACATTTTGTAATTAAAATGATCCTCATTACACTTTCTAGCCATTTTACATTTTTGTTTTGTTTTCTTTTTAAAAAGTTACAACATGCATTGTTGTTTGTAATTATATCCATCATGCCAACAGTTTTTTAAAAATTGTAAGCAATGATGTGTGATGAAAGTGAAAATATGTTAACTGATAATGTTAATTTATTTTTTACTGTAAAATATTTTTAGTTACATTTTTTAATGCCCCAATATTAAAACAATAAATGACATTTCAACCTATTTTCTTTTTTTTTTTTAATATTTTAAAATATTTTTTTCTTGATATGTTTAATACTTTTGGAACTTTAATTATTCTGTTATGTAGACAATGAAGTATACTAAAATGTTTTAAGTTGCATTGTATGTTTTCTGATAATTTTTTCTTACTCAACTAAATTTCCGAAGGAAAAAAAGTTTACAGTAGTAATTTTTAAAGTAAGCTGTCTTACTAACTTTTTGGGAAAATAGTTCAGAAATAGGATAAGCCATTTTGTCAGTAAGGTCCAAGTCTCATATCTATATATGTTATGCATGTGAAAGCACATCAAGTTATATAGGCCTTTATATATATATAAATATCTCAAAGGCTCATTAAAAAGTATTAAAGTAAAAGATTCATGTGTGAGGTAAAACATACTTAAGTTTATTGCCATTCATGTCACATGAAACTCAAGTATACAGAAAACCACTCATAGAGTACACTGTGTACTTCCAGTAAACTTAGGGAGGGAATACTACATTGATTAAGGCACACATTCAAAAATGTTAATATTGCACTTTTTAAAATTATAGATTCAATCATTTTTGAACAAAAAATGTACAAAATGGAAACTATCTGAAAGTTTTTTTTAAATCAAATAAAAGCAAAATTTAAATAGTTTCTTAAAAATATCTATTAAAAAATACATTTTCACATAAAGTGTTCTAAAGAAATAAAAAAATTGTGACAATTTCTTTTGAAAAAATATATAAATCACGTTTCTGTGTTAATACAGATATCTAGGTACATGTAGTAAACAGAATTTTCTTGATGGGTTTGTGAAGTAATTGCACAATATCTACAATTATAAAAGCATACAAAAAAATCCAACAAGTTAAAAAAAAAAGTAATATTATTTCAACCAACACAGAAATTAAGATCCTTCAATATTTTAATCGGGAACATGCAAACAATAAATTACTACATGATCATCCCTTCGTTGGTAAAGCATTTCTCCTTCAAACAAGACTAGACCTTGTTTTCTTGCCCTAAGAAGCATACCTACAAGCTTGTTTGATATTTTTGTGTAGGCTTCAAACAATTTTCCAAATTGTATGCTGTAGCTTCCATCAGAATTCAACGTACCTGTATGAAGAATTATCCATCCATCTTCAATCAAATATATAAATGATCAGACACTTATGTATTAACCTAAAAAACCTGAATCAGGTAATCAAGTTAGATCGTCTTAATGAATTCTATACTTTACATGAGCATCAAATGAAAGGATACCTAAGGTTTAACATCACTCAAATGTCACTACTCGACCAAGCCATAGAGGTAATTTTATAAATGGGGTTTGATTTTACAACTACAGGGTAAAGAAGAAACCAAGGCAATTTACAAATGAACAAAATTTAGCACAAATTGCTAGTAACAAACGACATGTAAGCCAAACTACTGGTGCTGCATAATATAACAGAAGCTGAGATTGCCTTTTTCTGATGAGGGGATTTATAATATTTTGAAAATCTAAATCAATCCTTGTAAACTGGAGTAAACAATTACCTAAGTCTGCTATCACATGACAAAGTTCCACAATCTCAGCACCAATGTAAAGACCAGCTTGTTTACCACGGTATTCTGTTAATGAGCCCTCCACTGGTCTGCCATAGTTTGGGTCATCTTTTTGTAAAGTAGCTCTGTGGGAAGCTCCACGCCATTCAGAAAATGGGTTGATCAATTGCTTTTCTTTATGTTCTTCTGCTTGTTTTTGCCAAAAGGAAATTTTTGTTCCAAGATTTCCTTTGTGACTTTTATTTTCATATGCCATTTACAGGCATTTATTAATTAAATTATAATTATTTTGACCTAAAAATAATATAAATCATTATTATATTAAGTATTATTTTAATATTTATTAAGAAATAAGTCTGGTCTTCCTGCAAGCTGTTCTTTACAACCAAGGTGTGCCTGTTCAACTAGAATGTGAAATCAGTGCAGACACTTGGATGATAAACATCATTGATAAAGTCCAGACCTTTACAAACAGCTGCTGGCCTAGAAAAATACTCATAATCTGCAGGCCCACCACCATCCATTAAATTAAAACTGATTAAAATGTCTCTACTGTTGAATCAGGCTTTATTTATAATGTAGTTGGTAGGGCAACAGTGATTAAGAAAAAGAAAGTAGTTCAACTAAGTTGAATTTATTTTTTAGTTTAAAATATTTTTTTTTAATTAAAATAATGTTATTAGCCTGAAAAGTACACACAATAAAATGATGTCATTGATTCTAGAGTAAAGATAGAATTAAAATCCAATACAGATAAAACACACAATAAAAATGACATCATCGAGACTTTATAATAAAGACACTAACATCACCACAAACTGTCTGCCGCCTACCTCCTAACCCCCTGGAACGAAAATTCAATTTATATAGAAAATATATACTTTTACCAGTGTCAGCCTGCCCCCCCCCCCCCCAAGAGAAAAAGAAACACTATCTGTATGATTGAGGTTTAGCTACCAAAAGACCAAAAGTAGGAAATGGGTCTAGATTATAAAAGTAAGGTCTACCTTTAATCTGTACGATCGACAAATGCAACTAGTGTTTCTATCAGACTTTTTTCTCCCTAGATGGGGGGAGGACTCTTCAAATTTTCTTTAGGGGGGGGGGGTGGACTTAATTTTCCAGGGAGGGGGAAGAGACTGGAAAAAGTATATTTTCTATATAAATTCTATTTTGTTATACGGGCGGTAGAAGTTCTTTGGGGAGCTATGTTGATGCCCGGGGCTAACCCAATGGAGGATGCTCCCATACAATTATTGTCTGGGTGCCTTTAAATATATCAGATGAATATAAGCTTAATAACTTCAAAGATGCCCCTGCAGTGTATAAAAATAAATATGAATATAATTCCTCTACGGATCTCCTTGAAAAGTAGGATAACGAATATGGGCATAAATACTTAAAGAGTTGCCCGAAAGAAACTCTAAATGCGACATGTCAAGTTTGTGCTTAGGTGCAAGGTTTAGACCAGGGGTATGAGTATGACTATATTTAGTATGAATGTGCAGTAACTAAATGTAGACCAAGGTTAAATCCAGTTAAAATGCTGAGTCTGGATAAAAATCCATTTTCAACTACATTTTTCATTTCCGGTTAATTTGAAGTTAAGGTGGTGATTTTGATATGGTTTAGAGAAAAAGACAACACTATCATGATCAACCTATCACCATTGTATTTCTCCCTCAACAGGCCCTTTATCTTTTCATCATATATATAATATATAGGCCTAATAATATTAAATTTTTAATAAGGGGTTAACAAAACAGTGGAAACACCATAGATTTTAATTTTTAATTTATTTATATTTTCAATTATTTTCATTTATTAGTAACTAATAAATAGTAATTATAGTCTACTAGTACTACACTAGATCTAGTAGATCTACTAGTACTAATAATAAAGTTGTAAACAGTAAATTCGTGCCTATAGATATAGTATAGTTATTAGTTAAGTATAGTAGTACTAGTATAGATCTAGTAGTAGATCTAGATCTAGTTCAAGTAGTAACTAATATTACTAAGTGACTAGTTACTAATTATAAAAGTCATTATTACTCAGTAAGCTAGACATCTAGTCTCTAGTGACTAGATTATAGATCCAGAATTAGATATCTACTGATATAGTCTCTCTCTAGTGTATGGGAAGTGTAGATTTTAAAAACTTGGGTAGCAAAATTTCATTTACTTTTATCCGGAGCAAAAATACGAATGTGAGAATGGATCTAACCAGATCAATCGTTAACGGTGAAAGCTAAAGCAGCCTTTATCATTCCACTATTTTTTAAACACTAGCGGTAAAAACTTATTTTTTAGGACTAAAACTTGATTTACTAAAAGAAAAAACCTACAATTACTACTTGTATTATGTATATGTATTTTATTAAGCTTTTTTTTAATTGAGAGAGCATTCGGAAGTTCAACGAAAAAAATTATCATAAAAACTAAAAATGACCTAGCACTCGTAGTATTAATACGTACACCAAAAATTTAATAAATGAAGTATTTATCATGTCAAACTCTAAGCTGCATTTGATATTATTATTCTTAGTAAATATCCAGTAATAAACTATCCGCCTTAGTTTAACTAACAGTATGTTTTTAGTTGTTATTAGCTGTAGGAATATCCACGTCGTATCTCCAACGTAAGTCGTAGCTTGATTTTACTGAGCTCCTGAAGAATGTACCTTTCATTCTCATTGATAATGGTCCAGTTCTTTCCCCTGGAAACATAATAATTTTGAAAGGCAAATGTTTAACGATCCCTGGTCCTTCGTCCTCAGTTAAAAAAGTGCCTGATATCAAAACCCGTTCATCTCGGCACTCGCTGACTCTGGCATCAGTACACTTAAAAACCTCGGCCCATTCTAAGTGTTGTTCAATACATTGCAAAGGGTTATCTAAAAAAATTGAATTCGACACACTATTCTTCTCCTTAGATGTCGACTCATTTTGATGTTCCGCTTTGGATAAAAGCTGTTTACTCTCGGTCAAACTACTCATATCACTGGTTTCCTCCTTTACAAAGAGCACTGGCAATTTTAGGCATGATTCCAACTTCGTTCTGCGTTTTGTTGAGGTGCGCGCAACACCAATTCTAATCCTTCTTACACAGCTTGCAGCCGATATATATTCTTGTAGAAGTTCTTCATTCCGTTGTTCCAAACACAAGTGCAAGTGTATTTCTCTAAGGGCTTCCTCTGTGCAGGGGAACGTTGGCACCAGAGGGAGACTTATCTCGTGCTCGAGAACCCCAATAAGCCATGGAGGGAGGAAGTTCTGGTGTTTTAGGTATGGCTGACGCAGCATACCCAGATGGCAATACGCGTTCAATTTCTCGACATGGCCCATGTAATTCTCTAACACCATTCGCTTCTGTTTGACCGCCTCCAGTGTCTCCTTGAAGTTGTCCTCCACGCTCTGATGACTCTGACCTTGATCCAGGAGACACGTCTCGCTCATGCACGCCCTACACCACTGCTGAGACCTGCTCCATGGATTCAATCATTTTTTAAAATAAATTTCGTTAAAGAGGAACAAATCACTAATGAAAACACCAATTATTCAAAAAAAAAAAAAAAAAAAAAAAAAAACCCACCCAAATACTAACTGAATTCTATAAACCTAACACCCAGAGTTTCTTTCAGGCATCTCTTGGGGGAGGAGGAAGCACCAATGCAAGTCCACCCCTCCTACGTTCGTTATAAAAAAAAAAGTGCGATACACCCTGGATACGGTGGGCTACACTACTATAATCATTCACTAAATCGAATCAGGTTATCTAACTTTACGAAGGGTGATTATTTTACACTCAAGACTTTCGCACAGCACGCTCTAGGGCTTCTGTGTGGTAGTGTGGATAACTTGGAGCCCAACTTTGAGTTTGATCCAAGAAATATAGCGTCTGCTTTGTTTAAATTTATAAAAGAATTGGAAACGAATTGATGACATAATCTTAAAATAATGCGTCATCCTTTCTTCTGCGACTGCTGCAACGCACGGGACATGTACGCTAGTGTTTTATGTAGAAAATATATTCTTTAGCCAGTGTTGTCGTTCCCCCCCCCCCCCCCCCCCGAGGAAAAATTGTCTGGAAGAAACATTGCTGATAGACAACTTATCAATACTTATTTTACCCTCAGCTAAACTTTAAAAAAAATTGTGACGTGACATTTTCAACAACCTTCCAACCCTTGTCACAATCTAGCTGTACTCGTGACTTGAAGTGTTTATGAAAAATATTAAGTCTTAGTGTAAATGTAATGTGGTGACATCTGCTAGATCTAGAGGAAACGTTCGACATTTTTTTCATAGCAAATAGCAAAGATGGCAAAACTAAGATCCAACGACTTAGTTAAAAGCGTTATTTTAGTTTTGCCGAATATAATACCGGCTATAAGGAGTGTTAAAACGGGGGTAATTTTGCTATATCAATTAGCCCATAAATTAAATAGGCTTGTCGGCCCGTTACTTGTCATTTATAGATTTAGGACTTGCTTTCTTAATAAAACTGCATCTAGAGAGACAGAGACCTAGTTTAGTTAGATCTAGATATTTTCTTGTTTAATTCACAACTGATTGTATAAAAAAAATGATCTACCCCTTTTTTAAGTTTAAACCATACCGTTTTTTTATTTTAGCGTCCAATAAAATTTCTAACGAATTAACGTTCATATACTCCCTCTGTCTTTCCCGATTTCTTTTCGCTTTAATTTTAATGAGAGCCATTTTCTTGATTAGTATGGCGCTAGCTGTAGCCAATGTCAAGGTTAAAGATACGCTGACATTTTAGTCACAGCGTAGTAAGGTTAAAATTTGATGACGCATTCCTTATAAATTACTTGTCTACACAATTCGCTTTAGTCTAGTGATTTAATGTAATACGGGCATTGCTGTACATACCAACAACAAAATCAGTTTGGCCTGCAGAAACGTATTCTCTTATTTTCTCTTCTAACAAATGCCATGAAGTCTACTGGTTTGAAAACTGAATATATAATGTAAACAATAGACCCTATGTTTTTAATTTTTTATCGTAAAAAAAACAACTGGGACTGGAGTATCTAAAACAGGAAGGATTTCATTTTACTTCCTAGTGTTTTAAACATGAAATAAGTCTTGCTCCTAAAATATATCATGTTGTTTAGTGAAACACTTTCTGCTTGCTGCTAAAGATCCTTCACTAGTTGCTGGATAGTGACCCAGTGAAACCACAGCAAATATTGATCCAAGTATTTAAAGAGAAGCATTTTGATTTATAGTTATAAAAAAGACAATATTAAAAATCTTCAATCATTTAATAGTTAATGGTTATAAGATACAATGAGCAATGTTTTGATCAGACATGATATACTTAATGCATTCATAAAGCTAACTTAAAAAACTGAAGTGGGCAGAGAGTGCTAGATATTAGCACAGCCAAAATTTGTCCTGAGATCACCTCTAGCCAAAATATGTCAGTCTAATACTTAAGAAAAAGTAATGTCATCAATATTTAATTACATAGTAACTAAAAACAGAACTGAGATTTCATAAGTGGTTGTATTAATAACTTTTGATATTATTGGGGATTTAAAAAATAGGTACGATTTTTTAACCTATAAAAAAAAAATGTGTTATTAATATTTGTGAACATATAAAATTTCATTTGTTATAGATGTTCACAAAAGGTGATTCTACATTTTAAATAAATTTAAAAATATTTGACATTTTGTAAACAAATTTTACAATATCTTTCATTTCCACATTTAAAACTAACCCAGAGCTGCATTAGAAGATATTTATATTTATTTGATTGTGTATACAATGCCTGTATTTGACTAACACACTCGCACCCAGTATTCAGAATTGTCAAGAGATGATTACTTAACAAAATGCTTTGTGTTGATGCTAATCCTTGCATTTTAATACACAGATATGTAAACTTTTAGAAATGAAAAAAAAAAATTTAATGTGGTCAAAACACAAAATTTAAACATAGTTACTTTTTTAGACAGGACAATGTGCAACTTTGCACTGATTATGTAATACCTAATTTAACAATAACAGCCAAAAGCTTGTCTCATGTAATAACTGTAAAGCAAAATAAGAAAATAATAAAACCTTACATCAATTACAATTTATTTCAACAAATGAGTATGTATACACAAATTATTTCCTTTCAATCAAAACTTCCACAATATGTTATAATAAAACGGATTTATTAAAAACACTAGATTAAATCACACAAACCAAAATACATTATCTTTCATTCATATGGAAAACAGCATCTAAAGCATGTATAAACTAAAATAATCCAAAAAACGGATTTGCATAGGCCATTGGTTTGACATTCGGATGTGGCTGAAAAAAAACAATCATAAAATCTAGATAGGTATTTTATTTTTAATTGTCTTAATTTAATGTGGGTTCTTCAAGGATTCACACATGAGCCTAATGGTTAACGTTAGTTTCAAGATTTTAAAAATATAATATGAAACGTCCAAGTTTCTGTTATATTAAATGACTGCTTGATGTTTTTAACTTGTAATCTTTATAACTGAAACACTTTGTAATTAATAAAAATAAGTGTACTTAGTAAATAAAGATATAACTTACAACAGCTTCATATGTTGTAAACTTTGGTGTTAGATTGTCCCCTGTTATGTTGATAAAAGCACCTTTGTTCCCCATTGTATCACTGAAACATACATACATACAATCAATAAATTTATTAACTATTCTGACACAAATATCCTAAAATTAAATGATTTATTCAAAGGATAAAAAAAATAAATTCCAAGAGTTTTTTGTTTCAACTCTGAACTAGCGTATCTCAAGAGAGGTATATAATTAGGTTAAGTTTTAGCTTGTTAAATGACTTACCAGTAATTGGGTGCAGAAAAGACGGTAATACATTTACCATCATGCATTTCTTCATAGCCTTCATTCTTAACCTCATGGCTCCTAACAACATAATCTAACTTGTTTCTTTCTAAAAATTTCTTTGTTATATCAGGTCCAAATTGAACTCCTACTCCCCTTTTACTGGGTGCTCGTCCTAACTGAGGTTGTGGATCAGACCAGAGCAATTCACACATTATACCTAAAATAAGGAGGAAATAGCTCTTATAGTATTGATGTGATTTTACAGGAGTACTTTTGTTTATTTGATTAGTGTTAAAAAAGTATAACAAAGGTAACCAGCATAAACTAAAACCAACCATTGTCTGGGGGCTGTTTGTTACGATATGTTTTGGCAATATCATCCAGTGTGACATCATCAGAGGAGAACAGGCCACCATGCATAACCTACACACAAACATAATGATCTATATTAGCATTTTTATCACATCATCACTAGTGTAACAAAGATAATCTGATACAAAGGAACAGATTGAGAGAAAAATTAAACCAAATGTGGTCACTACTTACTAATATTTTCTTATTTATACAATGGGCTAGTGGTAACCAGTTAAATACTTCTGTAAAGAGTTCACAAAGCTGTGATGAATATCTATTTTACATGTTAAGTAAATAATTTGCGTTTAAAATTAATAATGATTTTAAAATGTAATGAAACCAAAACTGAAAGTTAACTACTGATAAATTCATTAATGCTATAAGTTTGTTTCAATTTAGAATAATGATTATAGTTTTACTTTAAAACAAGGTAACATAATCTATGTGAAATAGTTGAACTATGTGAAGTCAGGCAACAATTTTTCAAGGCTTTACAAAATGTGAAGTCTCCACCTTCTACTGCATGTGCTCCTGTTATTTTTTAAAATATTACGTTTATCTGATAGTAGCAGTATAAAATATAGATCGATAATTTAATGGCTGCAGCTACAAAAGACTGAAGAAAGAAAACTAACTTTTGGTGGTGAATAATGTATGTTCTAATACAAAGGATACTTTGATTTGACTTCTCCCTCAAAGCCGTACATTTGGTTCATTGTTAAGCTTTCATGGTTACCTAAAAAAAAAAAGTACAAAATTGTTGTCAGACATAAATGTTGCTACAAAGACATTCATTAAACAAATTACAATTGAAATATTACCTCTTGCCATGAAAAAATGTTTAGGGTAAAGAAGTTTGTAGCTGAGTAGAGTCATGATGCATTCAACAGAAAAAGATCCTCTATCAACAAAGTCCCCGTTAAATAGCTAAAAAGGTTAAGGTTGATTTTGATTAAATTGTTTATTATTTAAGACCTTTTTATTACAAGGTTTTTCCAGGTCAAATTGCTGTCTGTCTGAAGGTAAGATTGTGGTCAAATCTTGCAACTCAATTTGACACTTTAATCTATTCAAACTTTCCAGATAAATTCATTTCAGGTGACCAAACAAAAATTTTGTATTTTCATTTTAATTATAAAATTAATTAATAACTATTTTAAAATATTATCAAGCAATATGTGTTATGATTCTTTTTAAGTGTAAAATACAAAACAAAGTGATTTGGATACATATGGATTATCCTCTGATGGTTTTCCATTCATCTGGAAGATGTTTAGTAGATCATAATATTGCCCATGTATATCACCACAAATAGTAAATTTTGATTTCTGAAAGTAAAAAGTCAAATTTCAACATTTTTATTGTAAATTAATGAATGTGACTAAATATAATTTTTTTTACAAAATTTAAAATTATAACTGATTAAAACAATTGAAATACTACCTTGAGCACAGCTTCTTAAAATACTAATTTTAAAGCAGAGTATTCTTACCCCTGGAACTTCAATATATACAAGAGAATCCTGTTCACTAAAAAGCTTTTTTGCTTGTATTAATATCTGGAAAAAAACAAAATTCAAATTGGTCTTCAGTAGATTAAAATAACAAACATGAGGAGGGAGTAGTTCTGACTTTTCAGACACATGTAAAGTTTTTTTTTAAAGAAAATTTTTGAACAAGCACATATTTTAGAGATTTTTAAAGTATTATCACTAAAAATCTTAATTGAGCACTGATAAAATTAATTTTATAACAACAATTATCAAAACTAATTTCACTCAGCTTATCATTGATTTGTTAATGGATGCAGCCTGGAGTAGACTACACTATAACTGAACATTAAACCACACTCTTTACCAAAGAAAATGGAAAATTATCTAGTAGTTACTTTGAGGTTAGTAGATCATGTGGTGCTATGCTAAGTTTTATCCCTCAAAATGAATTAAGAAATTACGTCCAGAAATATTTTCTTAACAAACGTCTGCCTTTGGTGTGTTTGGATTTATTTTTAACTTTTAGTGGTCTCTACTGTAAGTCTAAACATAATATACACTACAAAAAAAAAATAGTTATTAGAAAAAAAATTAAAATTAGAAATGATTATTTAAAAGGCTTTAAAAAAAAAAAAGCTAAAACAGTGTGATGTTATCTATAGCCAACCCATTAGTACACTGTAGTTTGTCAATGTTTGACAATAATAGTAAATAATGTAAAGAACTTATTTTAAAAAATATTCAAGAACATTTTTAAACAATGCAAAATAGGTGTTAATACCTGACACACATATTTTTTCGGCAATTTCTTTTGCTCTTTATATGCAACAACAAGATTATCAATAAACTCCAAGGTCACTTTTCCATCCACTAAATGAGGACCATCGTAATTTGGCTCAATTGCTAAAAAAAAAAAAACATTTTTGACAATTATTTCCTCTACAGCATTACACATAAAAAAAAAACATCTAATAAAACGTAGAAAAATCTTAATTAAAACACTGACATTTTTTTGGGCTATAAGATTCGTAAACTAAAATATATACACCAACTTAAAATACTAATATCTACCACCTCGTTACCTCCCCTATGTCATTGTTTTCAGTAACCTAAAAAAGATTAATTTTGAATTACTAATTTATAATCAAATTAAATTTAGATATTTCAACATTTCATCTCAGACACTTGTATGCTAGGTTTGAGAGATACGACAGCTAACACCCCATAACTCGAGTTTGTAATAATCAACATCTAATACTAGTTTCTTGTTTTGTCTATTTATAGTTCTAAGCAAAATACTTTACAGACAGTTGCTATTATTTCAACATCATATTTCAACTGTGGAGACAATAGCTGGCACCAGATTATGTACAAACCCTCCCATGCAGACAACTAGACATCTTGGGGATAAATTTAGCTCTTTTTGTTCTATATAACTGACTCAGATATTTCTTTCCGCAAAATATTTTAAAAATAAATTGATAATGAACTAGTTCAAAAAGCTGTATTTTCAGAAGCAAAGAATTCAATAATTATTTAAGTATTTTAAAATGCTTCTACCTTATAAATCCCTACAATATATAGTACACACCTAAACTCTCTATATCAATTGTGTCTGACAAACATTTTCCATCATCACTAGCTATAGCTTTTTCAAATGCCAGTCGCTTGCAAATTTTATTGCATTCTTCATATTTATTTTTGGCATCTTTGTCGCTAGGGCGCACTTTGGTAACCTAAAATTAGATAAGAGATAAGCTTTGTATATTAGTGAAATATTTTAACGTAAAAAACATGAAAGCATTAATTGTCTACCAATTTAATTATAATCTTGAATTTTGAAACACATAAGCCTTTAAATAAAGCACCAACTTACAGCTTCAAAATCTTTCAAAGCCAGTTTGAACTTTCCCAGTGCCATATTAGCAGATGCTCTTCTGTAATATGCCTAGGAAATAAAACATACAATTTTCTTTAAATATGTGCTAAGTATATAAACTGTATTATTAATTTATATAATGAATAGACAATCTGGACAATATTATTATATAGAGAAAATTAAATTACTCAAGTCTTAGAGGAATACAAAGTGAATATTTGTATTTTAAACATTTGAAATTTCTTTTTTCTTTAATTTATCCTACCTTTAAGTAATTTTTGTCCAATGATAAAGCTTTAGATGCATCTGACAGTGCATAACCGAAACACTCTGTTCGTAAATAAGCAAAGCTCCTGTTACCAAAGTATGCTGCTACAAAAGGGTTGAGTTTAATAGCTTCTGTGTACTGTTCAATTGCCTTTGTATAATCTTCATCTGGGTAAAATATAACAACATACAGATTTTAGGAGATTAATTTTTTTTTTTTAATATTTAACTCACATCCACAATGATATGAAAACATTTCAGTTTCCATGTACTTTGTCATGTATTGAATCCTAAATAAATATTAAATAATAACTCAAATTAGACTAAGACTTAGATAAATTACTTAAGGTACTTTTTTGCTAAGTTAATGACAGAGACAGAACCAGGCTTACGTGCTGCAACTACTCTTAAAAAATGAGTGTGTTAAATTTTTTTTGTGTGATCAGTCATCTTGATATTTTAAAACCATAATATACAGTCTCATTTAAAAAAAAAATATTGGATATTTTTGGATTTTTAAAAAAATCAGTGAGGACAAAAGCAAACTGTAAGTTAATATTTAAGTTTTTTTATACTATTAGTCTAGCACTTTGACTAAAAATATTTTCTTTGGAAACCCAATCAGTAGTTGGCATCATAAAACAACAGCTGCCTCTTCTTATCATCCATGATCATTGGACAGATCCAGTGATCACTAGTTCTTAATATAATCCTCTTAACAAAATAAAACCCCATATTTTAAACAGAAAAAAATTAATATTCCTCCTCCTAATATAGCTAGAATTTTAAATTTGGTATCAGTGGAAAGCTATTAGTTACCAATACCACTTTAACTAACTCGTTTTGAGAGATAAAAATGACAAAAACAAATTTGTCGTGCTACATTGAAGATCTAGCTAGACCAGATTAAGTTGTGGAGTTGTATAATGTAATGGCAATGTGTAGTGTAATAATAAGTATTAACTAAGTAGACTAATACTAACTAATGAGAGTTTAGAGAGAGAACTTCAAAATAGGGTTATTATACTAATACAATGAGAAAAATGGCCCGTTGAGGAAGGATACAACGGGCGCTAGGTTGATAGTGCTGTCTATTTTCTATAAACTAAAACCAAAATCACCATCTAAATTCAATTTAACCGGAAACAAAAAATGACATAGAAAAAGGATTTTTATCCAGAATTAGTACTTTAATTTATACAAAATATAGTCATAGGCATATCCCTAAACCATGCACCTAATCTCATTCATGACAAAAGTCGCATTTAGAGTTTGTTTCAGGCAACTCTATTTGGGAGGAGGGGGCTACGTCGTCGTGCCCCCCCCCCCCACCCCAAAACATGTCTACCATCCCATTCAACGAAATATAATTATATACTTTTTCCAGTGTCCGCCCCCTCCCAGAAAATTCTACCCCCGCCCCCCAAAAAATTCAACTACCCCCACACCTCGCCGGGGAGGGAAAAGTCTGAAAGATACACTGGTCGCATTTGTAGATCATACACACTAAAGGAAGAACCTGGGCGGGGCTTCGCCCATACGGAAAGAGGTGCGTGAAAAAAACTGTGCACGCTAAACACTTTTTAGATTAGAATAAGTCCCCATCCCCCTCCGGGTAGGAAAAAGTTTGAAAGAAACACTGGTGACGCGCTTAGCCACTACCCGAAGAATTGCATGAAAGAAACTGCAAGAAAACCACTTTTTAGATTAGACACATGAATTAGGCGGTAATTTTATTATAGAGTATCGATGAAGATATTTATTTTGAGTTGGGGAGGGGGGCTCAGACGCCCCTACCCGAAGAATTGTATGAAAGAAACTCTCCATGCAAACCACTTAGATTAGACAAAATTGACTTTTTATTCAATGTTTACTCGAGAATCAATGACGTCATATTACTGTGTGCACTCTCCGGCTTGATACTATTTTCTACTATATGCTCCAATGTGACGTCATATTTCGTTTTCGTTTAACTATGCATGTTTTAATTTGCTTGTGTTTTCTCTATAGAGTTCTTGTCAGATAGATAGATACATCTAGATCTAGATACACAAACAGCGAAACTTAATAATACAATTGTTCAATAGACTGAGATCTAAAAATCAGAATCTAGCTAAAGAGTCTAAATCTAGATAAAGTTAAATTTAAGTGTAGACAAGCTACTAGAATCTAGCTAGATTTTAGAATCTAGCTAGACTAGATAAGTTAGTAGGGTAATCTATCGTTTTGGGTACGTAAAATCGCCCGCGGCTATTAATGTACGAAAACGTTACCTCATTATCAAGGCTGTAAATAGTATATTGTGATATGTTTGTGTCAAATATTATAGATAAATGAATAATAAACCTAAATCAATGGCTAAATATATCATTATAGGCCAGTAATTAACTTTAAACAGCAGTGTCTGCAAGCAAGATTTGCTATATAAACAGCAGCCATTTGTAAAATAGAGTGACTTCCGCCTGAATCTTGCGCTATAAGTCTATAAAAATAAAACTTTAACAAGATGGCTGCTATAGTAAATGAGCATGGTTGCATCTGTTGGAAACATCGCTGGTGTTCATTTATTACTGAAAAGTTTTTATTCACTTGTTTAAAAACAGGTACATAAATGAAACAAGGAAACATTTTTGTATTTTTCAAAACATAAATCCTCCTCAAAATGTGAAATAATTATTAAATGTAAGGAGTCACCTGTTTTTCACATTACTAGTCGCGGGCGATTTTACGTACCTAAAACGATAGATTACCGTTAGTAGATTTACTAGATCTAGAATCTAAGCCATTCCTAAGCTAGATCGTGTCTAGATTCTAGATTTAGATCTGCTAGCTAGATCAATCTAGATCTAGAAACACATAGATCTCTTGATCTAGAATCTAGATCTAGATCTAAATTCTAAATCTAGATTCTAGTATTACTAGTATTAGTAATAATAATTTTAATATAGATCTAATATATTATTATATTTCTTAAACTTAAATAGTATAGATTTAGTATTTTCTTAAATTTTGAGAACAAATCATTACTCTTGAAATAAGTATTGGCTTGTTCTTTGACCTCCTCTGCCTTTTTCTTGTCGTCGTCAGTTATAGAAGAGGGATCCTTCAATTCCTCGTTATTCTCCATTGTTGTACTTTCATTCCCCATACTATCCGCCATGCTTGGTTTCTAGGACCAGGGTAAATAACTCTACCTAAAATACTTCAACTGCCGGATATGCAAATATGATATTTTATTATTTTCAATAGTTTTACATGTGGACTTATTATTCATTGGTTATTTGCATGTTTTAATTAAAGGAAAATACTTAGAAAATAACATTGCAGTATTTGAACAAACGAAAAGATTTAATGTTAACTCAATAACAGCTCAAGTAGAGAGGACCGGTGATGTGTGAGGGAGGGAGCAAAGTTTCTTCCAGGCATCTCTTCGGGGGGGGGGGGGGGGGCGAAAAAAAGTCTACTGCTCCCTTCCCCCCCCCCCCCCCCCCGAATGAAATGAAATTTATATAATTTATATAGAAAATATATACTTTTAACAGTGTCCGCCCCCCCCCCCTCCGAAAATTTCAAGTGATTCCCCGGAGAAAAAAGTCTGGAAGAAACACTGGGAGTGAAGCGAATGACACGGTGCCTGAAAGAAACACTTCTAAGCGTGTCCTATCCACATTTCCATTTTTCCTATTTCGTTCTACCCTGTCTCAGTGTCTGGTCTGGTACCCTCTGTCTTCAAATTTGTATCAGTATTTGCGTAAGTATATGTGTGTGAGGTCAATGCCTTTTATTCTACATTGATTTAGAAAGGCCTAGTCGTTGAAGAAACTGTAAATTCCGGTCTAATCACTCTAATGATAGTTGCCCATTATTTAATCAGTACAATTTGTAATGGCTTTGTTGTTGACTAAGACAGTGTACATTTGTTTGCTGGTGTTTGTTTCATTTTTCAGTTCACCAAGCAGAGCCGGCGCTAGGGGTACGCGGGGCCTATGGCCAACCATCCGCGCGGGGCCTTATATTATTTTCATTGGTGTATAATTAAATAAAACATGTACAGTGAGGCGTTTTTTTTTTCTTCTCAACGCGAATTAATATTTATAACGATATATGTGATATTTTTAAGCTGTTTATCATTGTCGTATATTAGTTTTAAAATTAAGACACTGATTAACAAATAATTTGTTTACTTAGAAGTGCTTTTGAAACGTTGCTTGTTTCTGTTAAGGCTTTTTGTTTGAAAAGTAAAAAATGAAACAGATATAAGTTTGAGACACGCATTAAAGAGACGATGAACGTCAGCTTCAAACCTGATTTTTTTACATTAATGTTTATGAAAATCTTACCAGTACGTTCACAAACGAAGATCTACTTTTCTTGCCTTTCGTGAGGAAAATTCCATGATTATATCATCATAGTCCAAACTGGAGGCTGTCTTTTTCTATTGACAGAATTGACAGACCGCAGAGTCTGTCTTGGGACATCGTTGATCTCAAATAGTTCTTGATCAACTTCAGTTTGGAGAAATGTTTTTGTTGTTTAATAACTTTCTTTGGATAGTGTATGTACTTGTCCAACGCGCCTGCTTGTGTTTTATCAAATTCTTCTCTTAAATTGCGTTTCCTCGCTTTTGATGCACCTGATTCATACTTGCGAAATCTATCTCTGTCTCTTGTAGCCATGGTGTAGAGAAAAATTGTGAAATCACTTTGAAGCAACGTTAAATCGGTCCACAGTGGCGGGTGATAGTATCAATATTTTCTCAATTTATCGAGTGTTAACAGTGGCATTCAAAGTGTGTGGATGCCGGGGAAAATAGCAAAACATTGATAGATTTCGGAATAAGCTCGAATCGTGAAAAACACTGTTTACGGCTATAGATATCCAAATGAAATGACTCTCAAATGTAATCACGGACGCTCAGTAAGGTGGAACACTGGGGGGGGGGGGGTGACAGTTGGTGGGGTGAGGTGAAGGATGACTGTACATTTAAATGTATGGGATGCTAAACCCTAAAAAAAATCAGTTCGGGTACTACGTTACTGGATCTCTGACCGCAGCAATTCAAGAGAAGGTGCGTGTTTATAGAGCGTCCGCGTATTACATTACAGATTAAGACCGCGTTCTCACAAGAGAAGGTCCATTTAGGGGGGGGGGGGGTGACACCAAGGCAAAAAATAGCAAAATATATAGAGAAAAACTTGAGGGGGTGCAAATCGAAAGTTTGAGGGGGGGGGGGGTGCAAATCGAAAACTTGAGCGGGGTGCAAATCGAAAACTTGAGCGGCGGGGTGCAAATCGAAAGTTTGAGGAGGGGGGTGCAAATTTTGAAAGTTTGAGGGGGGTGCAAATCGAAAATTTGCTATTTTTTTCCCGGGAAGGGACATGCCCCCATCCGCTCTCCCCCCCCCCCCCCCCCCCCCCCACCTCTGCAAGCCATCATCAGGTCACTGACTGTTTACTACAGGCACCCCCGCCTGCTCACTAAAAAAAACGTCTTCAACGGTCCGCAAACAATAGGGATATCTGTTTACGTTTCTCCCGATTTTACCTCCCATGTCAGGTCGGGGGCTAATTCGCGACCGCCATCTCCAGTCACCTCAGGACAATAGCGAGTCGACCGTGCCAGCGATGTGTGACACTAATGTCTTTCTTTAGAATAACGGTCTGTCCCAGTCCATGTAGAGGATAACTCACTAACATCAGCCGTGGCCTCAGTTTTAACATCCAACAATTTCGGCCATTTAGTTGGGTTTTTTTTTAAATTTTATTCAGCAAAGATTATTTAAGTTTACAAACTAATTCAGGCAACAATGGCGTTGCTGAAGCGCGGGGCCCCTTCAAGCGCGGGGCCTGGGGCGACCGCCCCGTTTGCCACCCCCTAACGCCGGCTCTGTCACCAAGTAGGCAACTGTAGTCTCAGTGTATTTATTATTTACAATTTGCTACTGTGTATACAACTCGGCATTTTGATCTGTGGTACAGTTGTTGTTGGCAAACTTGCTGTAGTTGTTGGCACCGCGTTTACACTTGCGACATTTAGATCTATGTGATGCATGTCTAGAAAAAAAAACTCGCAAGATCGTAACATGAAAAGGATTTTCATAGCCGTTTAAGAAAATATCTTGATTCTTGGCCCTAGTTTATTTTTAAATAATAAATTGGCAATATTCTAGAAGTTTATTGTCAAAGTCATAGTTAATGATAAGCTAAATCTTAAACATACTAGATAAATGGCCCGTTGAGGAAGGGTACAACGGGCGCTAGGCTGATAGTGCTGTCTCTTTTCTCTAAACTAAAACCAACCCACCCCCCCACACACCACCCCCACCCCACCCCCACACCCCCACCCCCACAAACCACCCCCACCCCCCACCACACACCAACCCCACCCCAACCCCTCACCCCCACACACCACCCCCACCCCCCACCACACACCGCCCCCCACCCCCACCCCCCCCCCCAAAAAAAAACATGTCTACCGTCCCATTCAACGAAATATAATTATATACTTTTTCCAGTGTCCGCCCCCTCCCAGAAAATTCTACCCCCGCCCCCGAAAATTTCAAGTACCCCCACCCCTCTCCGGGGAGGAAAAAGTCTGAAAGAAACACTGAAACCAACCCACCCCCCACACACCACCCCCCACCCCCCCACACCACCCCCCCACACACACACACCACCCCCCACCCCCACCCCTCCACCACCCCCCACCCCCAAAAAAAACATGTCTACCGTCCCATTCAACGAAATATAATTATATACTTTTTCCAGTGTCCGCCCCCTCCCAGAAAATTCTACCCCCGCCCCCAAAAATTTCAAGTACCCCCACCCCTCTCCGGGGAGGAAAAAGTCTGAAAGAAACACTGAAAACCAACCCACCCCCCCCACACACCACCCCCACCCCCCCCACCCCCACACACCACCCCCCCCCCCCCACACCACCACCCCCCACACACACCCCCCACACCCCCCCCCCCACCCCCCCAAAAAAAAACATGTCTACCGTCCCATTGCAAGAAAACCACTTTTTAGATTAGACACATTAATTAGGCGGTAATTTTATTATAGAGTATCGATGAGGAAATTTCTTTTGAGTTGGGGAGGGGGGGGGGGGCTCAGACGTTCTTACGCGGGGGGTGGGGCTTCGCCCCTACCCGAAGAATTGTATGCAAGAAACTCTTCACGCAAACCATTTAGATTAGACAACATTTCCTTTTTAATTCAATGTTTACGCGATAATCAATGACGTCATATGACTGTGTGCACTCGCTGGTTTGAGATTATGTTCTACTCTGCGCTAAATGTGTCGACGTCATACTTCGTTTTTCGAAATACTATGCATGTTTTTAAATTGCTTGTGTTTTCTCTAGAGCGTTCTTGTCAGACAGAGCGTTCTTGTCAGATAGACAGACAGACAGCGAAACTATTAGTATTAACGAGAAAAATGGCCCGTTGAGGAAGGATACACCGGGCGCTAGGCTGATAGTGCTGTCTCTTTTCTCTAAACTAAAACCACCCCAGCCCCCCCCCCCACACACACCCCCACCCCCCCCACCCACCCCACACCCCCCCACACACCACCCCCCCACCCCCCACACCACCCCCCCCCCCCACACCCCCACCCCCAAAAAACATGTATACCGTCCCATTCAACGAAATATAATTATATACTTTTTCCAGTGTCCGCCCCCTCCCCGAAAATTCTACCCCCACCCCCCGAAAATTTCAAGTACCCCCACCACTCTCCGGGGAGGAAAAAGTCTAAATTAAAACCACCCCCCCCCACTCACCCCCCCCCACCCCCCCACACCACCCCCCCCCCACACCCCCCACCCCCCAAAAAACATGTATACCGTCCCATTCAACGAAATATAATTATATACTTTTTCCAGTGTCCGCCCCCTCCCCAAAAATTCTACCCCCCACCCCCGAAAATTTCAAGTACCCCCCACCACTCTCCGGGGAGGAAAAAGTCTAAATTAAAACCACCCCCCCCCCACTCACCCCCCTACCCCCCCCCCCCCCCACCCCCCCCCCCTCTAAAAAAACATGTCTACCGTCCCATTCAACGAAATATAATTATATACTTTTTCCAGTGTCCGCCCCCTCCCCGAAAATTCTACCCCCGCCCCCGAAAATTTCAAGTACCCCCCCACCCCTCTCCGGGGAGGAAA